GTGAATTTAAAACACTAGATCCGGGACTCAAACCGCGGTCGACTACAAGGGAGTCCAGTGAGATAGCCATTATGCCAACTGCTGGTCCCTCTATGTTTTTTGATGCAAAAATGCATTGTGACTTTTCTGATGATCCAATATTTGAAACATCAGTGTTCTACCTATTCTAATAACAGTAAAATCATACGATAAAGCAGTATTGGCCTGTAAGGTCATTGCATCCTACCACTTCATTTTACAAGGAATTAAAATGAAGCCCAAACTGGTTAAATATCTTGCTTAAAGTTGCATAGTTAGTTAGTGAGGGTAGAGATAGAATTCAAGTTGCTGTTGGTGTCAGATTTTTATTTAAGAAAATAAGACCATGTGTGTGATACCTGTACTACTAAAATTCACTTAAGTGAATGATTGTGGATTCTATTATTTTCCAATAGAAAAACATCTTTTTTTTTTTTTAATCACTTTCCCCTCTTATTGGCCTCTACTTTTTTTCTTACCTTATCTATCCACACATCTCATTGAGGGCTTATCACGAGCAAAGATACCTCCTAGGGTGGCATTGAGGTTACTGAGAAGCATATTGGTCCAGCCTCCCAAGATCATTTTGTTCAGTTAATTTTTCTTTAAATTAACTTCATCTGTAAATCATATCTCAACCCTGCCTTTTGTCTTGTGTCATTTTCCTGCTGTATCTTTGCTTATTCTTTTTAAATTTTTTTTGTTTAAAATGTATGTCTGAAATATAGCTGAAATTCTGTTTTGTTTTTAAAAGCTGGAAGTCTTTAAGAGATTATCCTGGGAGCCTGGATGGTAGTGTGGTGATAAAATCATGGTGTTCTTTCAGGCTGAGCCATATGGGAGGGTTCCAGATTCATGTCTGGAGGCCTCCCTGAGTGTGCTGGGCACGTGCGTGCCCGTGATCCAGGGCCGGCTGAGGTTGGGAGTGGATTGTGGTGTCAGGACCCTGCAGGGGTACGGTCTGTGTGTGTATGTCTCTCTCCCTTTGTTTCTGTCTCATTCGTGGAGTAAATAAATAAACTTTATTTAAAGAAAGAATCTTGTTTACATTTATCGATGTAGTTATTATATTCCAGTAGAACATAATCTTCATAAGAGTAGGATTTTTTTTGTATTATTCTCTGTGCACAGAAGATACATAATAGGCGATTTGTTCATCAATCTTCCTATCACTTAATTTTTTAGTTCATTTCATTTTATGAATATAATTTAGAAGATCATCATCTTTTTTGTAAGTTTTTTTAAAAGGCAGCTATAAAAGAGCGTGAGGTGAGGCTAGGGAAGTGGGTAGCAAGCAGCTGGGAATTAGGTTGTTGTCTCAGAACTCTTTCTCACCAGCACTGTGCACTGGCATCAACTTGTGTCTTTTTGAGGCTGGCAAGAGGTCTGAATAGTTGACAGGGAAGCACGGTTTGTCTCTGGGCCTTCCTGGAATAATTTTAAATTAACTTCTCTTTAATCAAATAAAATGAACAGCCACAGAGCTGATGGCTACCTGCCATTTCTTCACCTTCTGCAGCATCAGTAATCTGCTTCTTGCGAAGATGGTGTAACTTAATACTCACATGAGCCTCCATTTCATCTCACCTCCTCTTCCATTTCATGGTTATGTAGTATTGCTCAGCCATTAGCACATTAAAAGCAACAATTTTATAACCAGGGAATTTATAAGAACCAGGCTTACTAATACAAAGAAGGAATAACATTTGAAAAGCTGAGCAAGAATAAGCAGAAAGGAGAACTATAAATGCAAACAAGAACTTTAAAGCATTCAATTTAGTACAGTCTAATAGAGACAAATAACCCTACATACATGAATAACCTTGAGACTGTCCCCATATTTACAATAGAAGTCCATAATAATGATCCTGAGTCTGAAAGATTAAGATCAATTTTATATTTCATATAAAAGGCACAACATTTTACATCTTTAAAGACACTGTGAGATAAATAAAAAACTTAAAAGCTTTTGGTTTAGAACTCTGGCTACTGAACAACTCCTATATTATGTGGAATACCCCCCTGCCAATGATTTCAGATGGTTAGGCCTGTTTACTCGGTTGAATGCCATCTTCTTCACTGTAATTATTGAGGAGAACCTATCTTTGTTCAAATGTGGCTGGAACTCTTCTCTGAGGATTGGCTTAAGGACACATGTTTTAGACTGTCACCAGTACAATGACTCTCTATCCTTTAGGAATAAATTTAATATTTGCAACAGTCTCAAATAGTTTCAGTAAAAGTAAGTTCAGTGAATATGATGAGAAATCAATCTCAGAAATACCATTTAGGATTAAAAACTGCATCTGATGCGTCTTTTTTTCTATACTTCATAAATTATCTCTGGTTGCAATTTGAAGAAGAGAGTTTTACAAATGCTTTGAGAATTAGTAATAACAGAATAAACATAGAGCTTTCTTAGGGGATTACTTTTAAACAGCACATTCACTTGGATTTATATGCTTTGCCATATTTTTTTAAATGTTAGCATGATTATAATCTTACCTGTCATTAGTTTTGAATGAGAAGGACAATTTCTTTTTTTCTTTTTATTTTATTTTGTTTTTTATTATGATTATTTATAGATTCAATCGCTCTCCATCATTTAGATTGTAAAGAGATTTTAGCCAGCATGACACACATCTCAGTCCAGTTGAGAATACTATATACTTCCTCATCAACAGATAACAGACCATATCTGTGTCCCACAAAGAGAAGGACAGTTTCTATTAGCAGTCAGAGAAGAGTGACATCACTGAGCCACCTCGCGCTCTCCTTTTTCCTTCTTTACGTTTCTTGTGTCTTCATCCTTGTTCCTTTATTGCTCTCTATGCTTTAGTCTTCCCAGAAACAGACATATTTATTATTTAGTCATTTGATGACACCAAGTGTACTGACATGACACTTGCTACATAACAAAAATAATAATGTACTTTGGACCAACAAGTTATTGAATAATCATAGGATTACTCCTAGACAAAAATAAGCATTTCCCTTTCTCTTTATTTTCGGCTACTTTCAGATTTTTCCTGCCTTGTCCTCTCTGTATTCCAAAACCCCGGCAAATGTATGCACTCAATATAATACATGTTGCACATTGAGAATGAATGAATGAGTGAGTCACTCAGTCAGTCAGCCAACTAATGGCTGAGTATTTACCATAGCCAGGTACTATGTAATCTGGGGGTACAACGGTGAAACTGAAACATTCCTTTCCTCACGAAGGTTATATTCCAACGGGAGAGACAAACAGTTGTAAAAACACAGAGAACTGGCTAGGATAATCATAGGTTGTGAGAATGGATATGAGATTAGTAAAAGGATATTACAGTAAAGACTGAGGGAAAGGACGCTGCTTTGGATAGGGTGGCCATCAAAGTGACCTCCAAGGTGATACGTAAGGAAATATAAGGCCAAACGTCAGGGGCGAGCTTCACGGGGAAAGAACAAGCATGGCGAATTCTAGGTAACAGAAGGGCAGTATGGCTGGTGGTGTAGCAAGGGTGAATGAGGCAGCAGGGGCCAGATCCAGCAGGGCCTCCCAGGCCTTTGGGAGTCTCGGTATTATTTTCAGTGCATTAAAAAGAAACCATCAAGCAGGTGGTATGGCCATTAAGGTGTTGGACTCCCACATGGCCAGCAGTTTGAGCCCCAGGCCTGGCAACTTCAAAGCCATGCCAGATGCATGCCCAAAGCCTGGAGAGAAAGATGAGGAGAAAGATTGCAGTGTGGCCATCCCCCTCCACCCCTAGGGGGTATTTTCTCATTTTCTCTCTCTCTGTCTCTCTTCTGGGTGCCCTATGACAAAACCCTGAAGAAAAAAACAAACAAACAAAAAAATCAAAGGGATGTAAATAGAAGAGTGACGCTATAGGAAACTTATCAGGCTGCTTGGAGAAGTATTGGCAGAGAGGGCAAGTCAGAAGGACACTTACTGTTTTGATAAAAATGTTTTATGTCCAGTTAAGCCTAAGAACATGAAAATGAGAATCTCCAACTCCCACCCCCTGCCGATTTCTACTGGGTTATTTAAGTGTTCGTGTCGAGTGGATGGTAGTAAAATAGCTAGGGCTTACCCCATGGTAAGCCAAAGGGTTAAAAAGAGTATTTCCTCATGGACCAGCAGGTGGTGTGATGGTTAAGGTGCTGGACACTCCCACATGACCGACCATAGTTCAAGTCCCAGACCTGGTGGCTTGCTTTCTCACTTTCCCTCTCTCTCTCTCTGGTCAAATGAAAATAAATGAATGAATAAATAAAATAATTTTTTTTTTTTTTAAAAAAAAAGAGTATTTCTTCTTGAAAAAACAAGTGACCTTTGGAAGCTTTTGACTTTATGGTCCTAACTTGTTTTGAAACTTTGAATAATCTTGCTCCAGAGGTGACCTGTCATCCTGCCCCTTTCCTGATTCTGTTTTAGTTCTTTCTGCCTCCCTCATGCAATCACCTGACCACAGACATTCCTTAAGGTTCAGATTTGAACTTGACTTTCCTCTCGCCACTATCTCTCCTTTAATGAATTTGACCCTCTCAGCTGAGCAAGTTTGCTCTTGAAGCAACTCAGTGAGACCCGGGTGGTATTGTTGCACAGCTGGAGGTGTAAAAGTCCCTGCAAAAGGAAGCCGGACTCAAAAAACACTTTCAATAGAGAGCAGCTTGATGACACC